AGTGGACTGGGTTGGGGGGGTGGCGGTGTCAGAGGGCAAGGAGTGGGAGATGAGAACATAGGGAAATGGGAGGGTCAAGCTGGAAGAGGGACAGAGTGGGAGGGCAGGGAGGAAGATACCATGATAGATGAGGACATCATGGGAATAGGAAAAAGCAGTATGCTGGTGAGGCTCTCAGGAATCCACAAGGTTGACCCCACCTTGGTCTGCTGACAGTGGTCCAGCGGGTACCTGGACCGGTCTACTCTGGTGACCAGCCTAGCAAATAACCTAGCTGTCATCATAGAGCCTTTGTCCATCGACAGATGGAGGCAGATACAGAGATCCACAGCCAGTTACCAGGCTGAGTTCTAGGAATCCAATTGATGAGAGAGAGGAAAGATACTGTAGGCAAGAGCTGTCAAGATCATGATGGGAGGATATGCAGAAATGGCAGACCACATTAGAGGAACCCCGTGAACTGTGGACTGCTGGCTGTGGAGCCCCCATGGGACTGGACTAGGCCCTCTGGATATGGAAGATGGTTGTTTGGCTCAAACTGTTTGGGGGGCACCCAGGCAGGGGGATGGGGATCGGTCCCTGGTGCATGGGCAGGCTTCCGGTAATCCGGTGCCTGTGGTGTGTAACACCTTGTACAGCCTTGGTGCAATGGGAAGGGGCTTGGACCTGCCTAGGCTCAGTGAGCTGGGCTCTGCTGACTTCCCATGGGAGACCTCGATTTGGGAGATGTGGCATGTGGAGTGGCTTGGGAAAGAGGGCTGGGGGTGGGAGGAATGAGGAGGGGTTTTCTGTGGATAGCATGAGGAGGAGTAGAAAATTTTAAAAAAAAGAAAGAAGAAACTTAAACATTACCCACAGGTGCATTCTTTGAATTTTTGGTCCTCAACTTATGGAGGAAGCTATTAGAATATATTTCAGATGCATCTGCATCATAGCTTGAACAGGAAAATGTTGATGTGACTTTGGACAATGTACCAAGTTCCCAGGCTTCTTCTTACCATCGCCTGTCTATAAAGAGCTGAGGAAACTCCTCTACCACACATTCCTACTGTCCTGATGTTCCCCACAGCATGGTGTGTCAAGGAAATTTACACCAAACCTAATGAACGCAAGATCCAAGATAAATCTATCAAGTTGTTCTTTCAGGGATTTTTGTCACAGGTATAGAAAATTAACTAATATAAGTTCTAGAGATGTGGCTCAGAGGTTAAGAGCACCAGCAGCTTCCAAAATTGATCTGTGTTTGACTCCTAGCACCCACACTGTGACTCACAGTCATCTGTAACTCCAGTTCCAGAGAATCTGATACCCTTTCTGGCCTATATGGCTACCAGCAACACAGACTTACATGAAACAAAAGAACCAAACACATAAAAATGAATGAATAATTTAAAAATATATGTAACCAATACAGATTTATATATAATCATTACTTAGATCCATAATGCAGGAAACAATATATACTAGATATACTTATAAAAAATTGGATCTTATCCTATACATTGAATATATAAACATATATTTTTTCTTAATATTTGTATTTAATATAAATATTCTTTATATTGAACAAACTTGAATATATTCTTTATATAACAATATTGAATATAAATTTATATTCAATAACCTGAACTGATCAGTGAATAGAGGAAGGATAGACTATTTAATAACTATGTATAGGGCTGGAGAGAGGTATGTTTGCTAAGAGCAATTGCTGCTCTTGCAGAGGACCCAATTTTCATTTTCAGCGCCAACCATCTATAACTCTAGTTTCAGGGAATCTATTGCCCTCTGCTGGTTTACATTGTAATTACATGTATACCGTACACAGTGACTCACTTAAATATAACCATCAAGTAAAAAATATATATTTCTAAAAGAATTCTATGCTTATAAGGTGCAGAAGCTCCTCTTGCTCAACCCTTCACTGATGAGCTATTGGTAGGTGGTAGCTTCTGGGGAAAGGGCAATAATTCTATTTGGAGTTTGTAGTCAATGGTAGGTTTCCTACACTCAGTTGATGATCCCACACTCATGCTTGTTTAGGAAGCACTAATTAGACTTAGTGCTTTTGGTAAAATGGACAGATCCTAGTGACAGGTTTATAGCTTCTGTCCATCTTGACTGGCAGTCACTGTTTCCCAGACAAGGACATTTCAGCATAGCATGGACCCCTCTAATGTTAGATCTTTATTATAGCACAGTAATTACACAAAATAATGAGTCTCATCAGGTAGGACCCCTTCCAAGGACAGGCTCAGACATTACATCACAGCTCTAAATTCAGATCTCAACATCTGTAAGACACTTATGCACATTGACAGCTATTACTGTGTCTAAAACTGGGCGTGCATGGGACCTAGATTCAGAGCAAATGTTATTCGTATTGTATACTCTCTGAATTACAGTTAGTGGTTTGTACTATAGACCAATATCTAGGGTCAGTGGAGGTTTCAGAGTCTTCATGGATTCATTGTGAAAGCACTGTCTTTAGCCACCATATTTCTATCACTGTGACTTAGAAATCCATTACATGTCAGTGTACCTCAGTAGTCTCTGTTGCATCCCTTTTCCACCCAGAAAACGCTTTGATTGACTCAATATTTTTATTAGTTTAAGCTCCTTCATAGCCCTCAGACCATTATCAATCATCTGGGTCTACCATACTTTTGTTCTGTGTATCCTTACAACTTAAATATCTTAGATTATACCATATGTTCTTCATATTCTGCTCCAAATACTTTATTACTCAAGTTTTAGGCACTTACAACTCTTCTATGGCACTAATCCATACTCTAGACACATAGAGTCTTCGTCATTTGCTTTGGGGAACATTTCATCAACTCATTTCCACTCTTGTCTTGTGATTCCCAGTTCACTTCATTTTATTGTGTTCATATTTCTTTCCTCCTCATGGCATTATCTTTCCCCCAAACTGTTCCTTTTATACACATGTCCCAAACACAAAATGACTTTGAAAGACTTATGTTTGGCAGGTCATTTCTCAATTATGATACTGTACAGAAAACTGGTGGACACTTTTGAAGATCAAACATAACTCAAATGCCTCATACATATCCCAATGAATTCTCCAAATGATAAGGGAGAAGGAACCCCAACTGGCCATCTCATGACCCAAAGCAAACATTCCAGTACAGGGACTGGGTTTCATTCATTTGAAATGATAACCAAAGTGTCCCATGGAAATACACAAACAACTTGGGCTGTTGCAAAGAAAATAGATTACGCTTCTCAAACAGACAGCAATGCTCCATTGTTGAAGACAACACACCCACAACTCAATGAACGTGGAGTGGTTCAACTGATACCTACATTGAAATTTCACCCCTATATTCTAGTGTCTATCACATGAAAAAGCATTCTGCAGGCTACCAAAAGATAAAAGTAAATACCAAAGCAACCACAAAACCTTTAATTTATCTGCAAAATATGATAAGGCAATTGAGGTACAAATCTTGCAGGATTAACCAACAGATGTCTGCTATTACAGGAATCTTAGTCCATGAATTTGAACACATACCTGACAGTGCTTGCCTAGGGAAAAATGAAGAAATCTAGATAGCCTAGGGAAATACTAAATACTATAAGACTAAAATATAAAGTAAAATAAAATGACTCCTAATGATATTCTGATCTCCTCATAGATCATTGCTTCATGAAGTCAATCTTAGAGATAATTCCTTCCTTCCTCCAGAAAATGGGAACAAATAGAGAGACGCATAGCCAGACATTAGACACTGAGAAAGAACTTGGAACACACAGGTCTGAATGACATGTCTCCATCAAATATCTCCCCTCATAGCTCAGTGAAACCCATAGAAGAGGAGGCAGGATGTGTGGGAGAGACTAAAGGGACAGAGAACTTAGGGGCACAAGGCTCTATCAACTGAGCAAAACTCATATGAACTCACAGAGACTAGAGCAGCAATCACAGGACCTACATGATCTGCTCCAGATCTTGAGCATATTTGACAACTTTTAGTTCAGTACCTTTGTAGGACTCCTGAACATGGAAATGAGTGGGTGTCTGATTCTTGTGTCTTCTCTTGTGGCCCCTTTTTTTCTGCTGGCTAGTCTTGTCTAATTTTTATATGATAGTTTTATCTTATTATATTTTAGGTGGTTGTGTGTTGTAGTTATCTATTAGAAGCCTGTTCTTTGTAATGAGAGACATTATGTCAGTGGATCTGGTTCGGTAATGAGGTGAGGAGGCACTGAAAGGATAAAGAGAGAGGAAACTGTATTCAGAGTACATAGTATGAGGAAAAACCATCTGTGTTATATAAAAGGTGATAAAATACTAGCAAACAAAATTCAAGAACACCTCAAAAACATCACTCATTTTTAATTTATTTGGGTAAGAGGTGAAAGATATGAATGAAAATTTTGGTCCATTGTTGCTAGAGGAGATACCCATCTTTCCAGATTTTGTTGTAGACTATTAAGAAGAGTTAAGGTTAGGAACAGCCAAATAGTATTTTTCTAAAACATGCATAGTATTGGGGAAATTATCACTGAAGAAGACTTCTGGTCCCAGTGCAGGTTAGAGCAGCTGTCATGGAAAGGGCCACTTGAAGCACAAGTTCATGGCCATCCATGATTTCAGCTTGGCTTGCAGTTAGAGTACAATATTCACAAGGTGTCTGTGCAGCAGTCAAGTAGTCAAGATTCCCTGACAGGATGAAAGCCACTAGAAAGACAGGTGTATTTGCAGCCAGTTTACTAGCTTCTTTGCACATCATCTAGGCAAAGGAATAACTCTTCTGTCTGAAAGCTGAAGACAACAATGGGCCAAACACAGTATGAACAACTCATGTATTCTGCTAATTCAACCAGCTGACAAAGATCCCATACTCGCTTTGGTTAACCTTAGGAAAACAAGGTGCTACTTACTTAAATTTCTTTATTGATTTATTAGGATGATAAGTGAGTACATAGTTTGATAATGTGAAACAATTATATTTTACATATTTATAGTAAAGTTAGGATACAATTTTTTTTCTTAGCCAGGCCAAACTGAACTTGGACACAATGGAGTAATGACTTTTAAGAACAAAGGGTGCGAAAGAGGGAAAAGACAGAGAAGTGAGGTGAGAGATGTTCACCAGCCATAAATTGTGATTATACAAAAGAGCAATACAGGATCGCAAGATGGTGGAGAGAGTATAAAAAGCCAGAAAGGTAGAAACCAAGACAAGGATATTCTGGGTAGCCCTGGACTCAACCATGTTCCTCCTGGAACCATGAAAACTACAGATGTGCTGAACCCTCTGCTTGTGTCTGTACAGAATGACAATCATGGAGGCACTGGAACAGGCAATGAGCAGAGATAAGAAGAATTCAGGGCACATTGCCAATGTTGCATAGAGTGAGTCACTGATTTCATCATGTCCTACAATAGAGCAGAATCCAAATTCTCGTTTTCTTGTCATGTTTTTGCTATTCATTTTGATAAATGGATACCTAAAGAAAATGAAATTTATCAACATATTCAAGACCCAGAGGAAGGCAATGTAGCAGCCAATATGCCTTGCAATTTTAATGTTACAATCCTTCCAATATGATTTCCTGGGACTGATGGTCATTGCCTGGAAGACACTCAATAAGCAAGTTGTCCAAATGGACACACTTCGACTAAATCCTTGAATATACAATAGAATCTTGCATCCAAAATCATTCAAGAACTGCTTCAATCCCCAAAGTGCCATTGTTTGGGGCGCTCCCACACAGAGAATGATCAAGGCATTGGCTGCCATTAGATTCATGAGGATCAAATCTATGGGCTTTAATGTGCATTCTCTGTAGTAAAGGACAAGATAGTAGAACATAAGAGAGAAATTTCCCATAATTCCAATGGTAATTTGTGATAAAAAAATGATTCTGATTGCCAGATTCCAGAAGTCCATTCTGTGTTTCAGCACTATTTCCTTTAGAATATGGCCACACTAATTTTCAGGTCAAATGAACAATGGCAAGTTATTGTAGCTTTGGCGAAGAAAGACACCATTAACAGAAGGTCCTTTAAATTCGGGAATTCCAGCCCGGCCTTGACCACATAAAAAGACTTTATCCCAAAACTTTTGACAGGGGTAGTTACTTTCCATGTATGTTACTGTGTGATTTCAATACTTCAGAGTGAATACACTAATGGAAGTTGAGCTATAAAGGTTCCTAGAAAATGCAGCACTGAGCATAATGGGATGTTTATCTGTGAGAAACAAGGAAAAGTGACAGGCAGTATAAACAAACATAATATAAGACCTTCAGAATATACTCATATTTGCTAGTCAGGTTGCAAAAGAAATCAACATCATTGACAAACACAAAACTTAAATAAAACAATTAATCTTTTCCAACATAGTAATTTTATTGATTATTTGGAGGTTTCCCATAATGAACCCTGAACACATTCACTTCCCTGTCTTCCCATGTCCACCCCACTTCCTTGTGAATTCCACCAACGACAAGAAAAACGGATTAAAAAAAAAGTCCAAGTTGTGTTGTCTATATACACAGTGGAGCATTGTCAGTTTTCTTTAATAAAACAATTATTTTTAATTAATTAATTAATTTATTTATTTATATTCATTTATTTATATGGGTGCAGTTAACCCTCCCTCCTCTCCTCCTAGTACCTTCCACCCACTCCCCTCTTTTCCATCCCCAAACCACTCCTTCTTCCTTTCTGTTTAAGAAAGGGCAGATGTCCAATGAGTATCAACAAAGACAGTGTAGTAAGACAGTGTAGTAAGACTAAGCACCTCCCATGTATTAAGGCTGGGCAGGGGGACCCTTATATCTCATCTAAATCAAGAGATAGTAATGAGAAATGTGTGTGTCTGAAAGAATATCTATATGTTATGGCAGTGCAAAGGTTCCTGTATCTTTTCTCAGATGTAGCCATCTCTGGTTTAACCTGAAATTGATCCTCCCTTTTCTAACCATGCCATTAAAAGTCTGCTGGGAAAGTACCTAACTCGGTTAAAGCAGTGGGGGCTGAAGTGCCCCAGTTAACAGCAAAATTGCTTGCTTGCTTTGCTTCCTCCTGCCAAGTGCCAACCAGAGTGCTGATTTTCTGAATGCTTTGTCTTCACAGGCTGTATATAAAATGTATATGCAGCTAAGCTGCTCTGTGAGAAGTGTTTTTCTGTAGGGAGTCACCAAGCCTTCTAAATATAGACTTAGATTATGGATTTTACCACAGGGATGATGCCACCTTAGACTGCTGGCAGTGATCGAGGGGGTGTCTGGACTGGTCTACTCCTATGACCGGTCTAGTGAATAACCTAACTGTCACCATAGAGCCTTTGTCCAGTGACGGATGGAGGCTGATGCAGTGATCTGCAGCCAGGCGCCAGGCTAAGCTCTGGGAATTCAGAAGATGGGAGAGAGGAGGAATTCTGCGGGCAGGGGACGCGGAGATTGTGAAGGGAAGACTTGCAGAGATGACTGGTCACACTTGTGGAGACCCATGAACTGTGAACTAGTGGTTATGGATCCTCCATAGAACTGGACTAGGCCCTCTGGATACAGGAGACAGTTGTTTAGCTCAAACTGTTTAGGGGACACGCGGGCGGCAGGGGGTAGGGTGTTAGGATCCATCCCTTGTGCATAGGCAGGGTTTTGGGAGCCTAGTGCTTGCAGTGCGGCACCTTGCACAGCCTTGGTGTGGCAGGGAGGGGTTTTGACCTGCCTCAGCACGGTGTGCTGGGCTCTGCTGACTCCCCATGGGAGACCTTGATTTAGAGAATGTGGGGCTGGGAGGTGGCTTGGGAGAGAGGGCTGCGGGGTAGGAGGAGGGAGGAGGAGAGATCTGTGGGTGGTATGTAGGGTGAGTAGAAAATTTCTTAATAAAAACATGGAAAAAAGAATATAGATTTTAGTCAGGCTCAGTGATCTTTGGGTCTTTTTTTATAGCTGAATTAGGTATTTATTGCAATTTAAGACAAGTACAAAATCTAAAAGGGTTTCATTATCATTTAAATTTATAGGGCAAGTTTTACAACATTACAGGGAAAAGTAACCAGACTATCAGAAGTCAGGCTATACTTAGAGCTGTGAAAGGAAGGTATCCTAGATACTTATAGCTTGGAAGAGAAAGGAACACTGAGACACATTTTTTGGGACTGAAACCAGAGGAGAAAGCATGCCTGGACCATGAAACCACGGTCAAATAAACACAGGTTGTTTCTGAATCCAGAAGCAGTTATAGAAATACCCTGACCCTGAAACCAGCCCACAACATGTTAAGATATGGAAATTAATTGAAATGTTGGTTCTAGTCACAACCTACATCATATTAAGTTATGAGCTAGCTCATATAAAAAATCACATCTCAAGCACACACACACACACACACACACACACACACACACACACACACGTAGGTGTGCAGTTCATGTCAGGACTGTTAGAGACAAGGGAACATCTGGTGTGATGAAATCTCACAGAATGAACAATAAATTAAAAATAGACAATATATGACAGCAGAAGGGTCAATGGTAATGGCAATAGCTGACAAATGATAGCTACTTGGGAAATGTTAGGTGTATCCATTGAAATTGTGTCTGGGATAATCAGGCACCACTCAGAAGTCTATCATGGAAGTGATAGGATAGAAGTGAGTTAGAGAGCCCATCACTGCAGTGAAGTTGGATGAATCTCTTCAGACACCACGTGCTTTTTTTTTTTTTGTAAGAGAAAGCGTCTGTAAACCATTCTTAAACTGGGTGAGATTCCCTTGAAGAGCAGAGAGTAGCAGCTGTGAAACAGCACCAAGCTGAATCCTGTAACCCCAGGGAAGGCAGTTGCCCTTCACAAGTATCAGCCATGGAGGGACAGTCAGCTGGACAATCAAAAACTGGGGCAGAATTGGCAGTTAATTCTGGCGTCTGAAGTAGTTTAAACAGAGTGGGAAGATAAACAGATTTAGGAACGACCAAACACAGTCTCCACTTCCCTGTGCACTGGCACTGTAGAACACCCTAGGGAACAGATACAGCCCAAACTAGAAACTACTGGATTAAGTGATGTTATACAGGCAAAAAAAAGAACAGATAGCACTGTCCCAAGTGTAATTTCATAGCTTTCAATTTTTAGGAATGTGTGTTTATGAGGAAGTAAGTGTGGGTAGTTTCCAGGAGACTTGAAAGGGGCCCCAAAGAATGTCTCAGAAGTAGGGTGGGGACAGTAAAGCAATACGTGTGTGTGTGTGTGTGTGTGTGTGTGTGTGTGTGTGTCTGTGTGTGTGTCTGTGTGTGTTTTGAAAGTTAAAGAAGGAATAATGTACAAAGGACCCCATGAACTGAGAGGAGGGAAGAGAAATGGGGAAAGGGGGAGGGTTTGGGCCAATCAAATCAGTAAATATAAAAATGTCTTTAGGATATTTGATATTTGAATGCTAATGAAACATAAAAATAATAAACAAATGAAACAAAATAAAAATCAGTTTAAAGTGAAGGAAGAAAATTTTGAAAATACCGAATTTGGATGTGCTTATAGAAAAACCATGATCTCATGCCCTGTAAATTTCTGTGAATGTCACAACAAATATTGTTGAAAGGGTTGCATCTGTTTAAGTGAAAGAAACATAACCCTACACACCAATTAACATACACTGCTTCTATTTTTCCAACATTCTATTCAGTATTTAACTATTCTGAGAAGAAACAATTAGTATAAATACAATTCCATTTGTGTAATCAAAGGTAATTTTTGTAATCTCTAGTTCCATCTCTTATTTTTTAAATAGAATTATAATTGCATCCTTGTTCCTTTCTTCCCTCCCACCAATTCCATGTACCCACAGAAACATTTCCTCTCAAATTTATGGCCTCTATGTGTTTAGCTATAAAATCTACCCAGTCCGTATACAGTTACTTCCACATACTTAATTTTAGTTTTCACCATTTGGTGCTGGCTAACTAATTAGGGCCTATTTTTTCCATACTCACAGCAATTCTGTCATGGTTTGTGGTTTTAACAACTAAAGAAAAAAAAACTTCTCACTGCAAAAGTAGCAAAGCATCAAAAAACACAGCTAATAAAAAGGCAAAAAGAAGAAAAAAAACCCCACACCTAACCAAAATACAGAGCACAACATACTGTGCCACAGTTGTACACCCACAATGAAACTTCTACACTCAGGGCTCAGGGAATATTGTGCTAGAGGTAGCAGAAAGATTGTAAGAGTCAGAAGAATACATATCTGCTGTGAGATTGCATCTCCTAAAAATGTTGGGGAAGCTACACCCATGAAGTCTCAGCTTGCTTGCCTATAAAAATCTAAACAGTGACACCTACAGACATGCTAATACAGAAGAGGAAAATACCACTGGGTTCCAGTAATCCAACTTTTAAGAATAACCATACAAATGAGTTTACTTTTGACATCATCCAGTAGCAATCGTGGGAGCATTAACTTGTGGGCTACCGAGACATGCCCAGTGGTGGCCCATCATCAATGAACTGTTATGCACAAAATAGAATTCTACATACCAATTCTGGCCTCAGGAGATTCCATGTCATCACAGCCATGGGGCAAATGGGTGTCTGCTGCTGGCCAGAAGGATGGGAGTGCACCGACATCATCATGCTGCAGAAACAATGCAGTCACAATGACTGATGTGAACATTGATGGTTCCACGGTGTTAAGAAAGTATGTGAAGAGTTTGCTGTGCTGGGGAACCACACCATGGCCCATAACCTGAAGGAACAAGGGGCTGAGCTTCATTGGCATCAAACATTCAGCATAATTGTGCAGAACAGCATCATCTGCAGGTGGCTAAGTAACGGCAAGAGGAAGATCTGAAGACCCAAACTCAGTGCCAGAAGTACTACGAAGATCTTGAACAAAAAGACTGAGAAACTGTCAGGAAATCAGAAGAAATAGGCAATTGATTCTGAGATGAGGCAT